CCCCTCCTGCTCCCCCTCCTTCCCACCTTTCCCTCTTTCCTCTTTCTTCTTCTTCCTTCCATCTTTCTTCTTTTTCTTTTTCCAGTACCAGGGACTGAACTCAGAACCTTGTGCTTGCGAGGCAGATGCAGTGCCACTGAGTTAAATCCCTGGCCCTAGGAAGCATATCTTCTAATCAGCATAGTCTGAGTAATTAAGGTCATTTGAGCTATAGTTATCAAATTGTGGCACCCCAGATCAGCACCATAAGTTGAGATATAATTAGAAATGCAGATTCTTAGATTCCCACCCCAAACCTACTGAGGGAGACCATCTGGGAGTGTGGCACCTACCAGTTTGTCACAAGAACTGCAATTTATTAAAAAGAATCAAGTGAAAAACTACAAATGAGTTTGCAGCACGGCCACTAAAGAGAGGATTAGTGAATTGTATAGTAGGAAATATCCAGAATGAAGCTCAGAGCAGTAAAAAGGATGGACAATACAGAAAAAGCATAGTGGAGTGTGGCCCGTGGGTCTTAATATGCATGCCTGGAGCCCCAGATGAAGAGAGGAGCTAGCTTTTTTCACGGAGCACCTGTAGAGAAGGTGTTCCATGACTGGTGGCTAAGCAGTGGTTATGTACACTTGAGTTCTTGACAGGCATTTTCTTGAGAATGAACAAAGTGAACCTTTCAAGTCTTTGTGGCCCATTATAAAATTTAAACTTTCAAGCAAAAGTTGGAATTTTAGAAAATATGTACTTGTCATTAAGTGATATTGACAGTTTCCCAATAAAGACAGTTCTAAGATCAAAGGCAATATTAAAGAATGTATTTTTAATTATTATATCATGAAATTGTCAATATTGGAAAGTTTTGCATAATCAGGTACACTGATATCTTTAAAACGACTAGTGAAGATGTGTTTCAAAATCATGGATAAGTAAGATCCAATCAAAATGCAATATAGACGATGGATATTAACATAACAAAATATGAAAAGTCTTAATATATTTTGCATTCCACATTACAACTAGCTACCACTTGTATTTCAGTGTAGTATCAAAGAATATCCACAATTGTGTGGCAGAATTATCACAGTGCTCCGTATTGGTGTGAAGTCAGATAGTCTTAATATATTTTAACTAACACGTCACATCGATTGCAGAAGTAGATACGAGAACCTAGCTGTCATCTAAGCCAACGTTAAAGGACATTTACAAAAGGGTAAAGCAGTGTTTCTCTTCTTCTGAATTTTTTTATTTTGGAAAAGATAGTTTGTTTCTCATAGAAAATATTATTGATGTTACTGTGTAGTAGGGATATTATTTTAAATACTTTTTAACATGTTAATTTAACTTCTAATAAGGTAAATATGAAGAGATATATTCCTACAGATGAAAAAGCTTTTTTTGGAATAATAGATGGAGGAAGGTCGGACAAAAGAAGATTGGAAAAGAAAAAGAATTGAAGGGGGGAAAATGGTGCAAATGTGAGGGTGACCAAGAGTTGGAAGGAGCGGGGAGGAGAGGGTAAGGGGTGAAAAAAAGAAAAAGAATTAAGATGTCTCCTGTATGTGTATCAGCTCCCAACCATAATTATAATTATTTATCTACTACAAACATGTACTAATTTAAAAAGTATAAAAAGAGACCAATTGGGAACCATTACTATAGAAATTAGAATATATTATTGAAGTATTATGAACAATTTTATGCTATTTATGTGAAAATGCAGATGAAATGGAAAATTTCTTGGAAAACAAATATTCACAAAATATGAATAAGCTTAACCCTATTTTTAAAATCTTGAACTTTTTATTTAAAACTTTCCTACAGAGAGCACTGTAAACCAAATGGCTTTTATTGGCAAACTTTTCCTATCATTTAAGGAGGAAGTAACCTAAATCTTACATATATTCTTACAGAACATAGAAAGTAGAGAATATTTCCCAACTTGTATAACCTCAATTCACAAAGCTGGCCACGTATTATAAGAAGGGAAAATTACAAGCCAATGTCTTTCACTGTGGTGGGCAGATATAAAAAAGGATCAAAATACAATGTGTGTACATATACCAGTTTCTTAAAACAAATGTAATTATTATGTATCACAAACATACCAACCTTTTTAAAAAAGTCCTGAGCTAAATAATACTGAGTCTACATAAAAAGCACATCTATATTTTAAAATGATACGTCTTGGGCTGGGGATGTAACTAAGTGGTAGAGTGCTTGCCTAACATGTGCAGGGCCCTAGGTTATATCCCCAGCACTACAAAAAAATTTTTTTGATGAAGTTGAGCTTATCCTAGGAATTCAGTGTTTTACATTCAAAACTTGTCCAGTTGTTTCAAAATAGCTAGTATAGAGGATTTTGAATGTTCCCTACACAAAGAAATATTATGTGTCTGAGATTTTATACACACACACACACACACACACAAATTACTTGGATCTGATTATTATACATATATTGAAATGCTGTACTATACTCATGAACACGTAGAGTCACTATGTGTCTTAAAAATATATATAAAAGATTTTTAATAACAATATGACAACAGAAAAAAAACAAAATGATAATCTCGCTGTGGGAGACAGAAGCATGAGATAAATTTGAACTGGCACCGTGATTAAAAACAACAAGGGCCAAGGATTTAGCTCAGTGGTTCCGTTGCCTGCCTCGCAAGTGCAAGGTCCTGAGTTTGATCCCTGGTACCCCCTCCCAAAAAAGAAAACAACAACAACAACAAAATCCTCTTAGTCTCCTTCCTATAGGAGTGGAAGTTCATTACTTTAATTTGATGAGTGATTCCTAGGAAATCTTATAGCAGATGTCATACTTACTGGTACAATACTGAAAGTATTTCTGGATGCAAGAACAGAGCCTGGAGACTTACTATCTCTGCTTCCTTTCAACACACCCTAGAGTTTCTAGCCAAAGCATTAAGACAAGAAAAGAAATGAACTAAAATTCTCATTTTACAGATGACATGCATCTACACGAATAATGTCTTGATTTCTGTAATTTATACTGATAGCAGATAGTATTCCTCTCATTTTGACTTTTCCTCTGTTCATTCTTAGAGTGTAGAAGACCCTTCAGCATATGAAATTACCTGATCACTCATTCCTCAAGTTGTGTGACACAGGTCTTACTCTCGCCATTACTTTGCTTTCTCTGCAGGTCCTATCTGACACCTGTACGGGATGAGGAAGCTGAGTCTTTACGGAAAGCACGCTCCAGACAGGCTCGGCAGACTCGGAGGTCCACTCAGGTGACCGTGACTTTTTTTTTATGCCCTTTTGTCTACCTACCTTTTCATTGCAGGCACATTTATAGTAATATAAGTCTTATTTCAACCACTGCATTAAAATCTCACTATGTTAAATATACTACATACACTCGATTGAATTTATACCTACATCTATCTACTATCATCTCTAGTCTTCTAGACTTAGAGCAAGATTGATCATTCCACTTGTACATAAGGACTTTGAGAATCCCCTGAACTCTCCTATACTTTACAGACTTCTAAGGGAAGACAGTTAAGCATTCCTCAAAGCGATAAACAGTTTTCTTTTGCTCATCAGTTCCACTCTTATGTATATGTAAGAGAAATGATGTGGAGAGGCGGTACCGGGAATTGCACCCAGGGCCTTTACTCTTAACTACATCCCCAGCCATTTTCTACTTTATTTTGAAACAGGATCTCACTAAATCTAAGTTGACCTGCCTGGGCTCAAACTTGTGATCCTCTTGCCTTAGCCTCCCTGAATGGGACTTTGCCTTTCTTTGTCTCTCTGTTCTCAGCACATTGAACAATTTTGATTTCATCAGACAGTTTGAGGAATATTGACATTAGATCATCTCTGAAGTTCTTACAGAATTTGGCAGTGAATCCATCAGGTCCTAGGCTTTTTTGGTTGGTAATTTTCATTACTACTTCAATGTTATTATAGGATTATTCATGATTTTTAAGTCTTCTTAGTTCAATTTTGGCAATTTATATGTAGCTGGGAATCTCTCCATTTCTTCTGAGTTCTCCAATTTATTGGCGTACAGATTTATGAAGTAGTTGCTAATTTTCTGGATTGCAAGTGTCTGCCGTGATTTCACATTTTAAATTTCTAATTGCATTGATTTGTGTCTTCTCCCCCCGCCGCCTTTTTTGTTAGCTAAGGGTTTTTCTATTTTCTTTACTGTTTGAAAGGACCAGCTCTTTAATTCATTGATTCTTTGTATTATTTTTTGATTTGTTTTGTTTTTGTCTCCATTTCATTGATTTCTGATCTTTATAATTTCCTTCCTTGTACTAGCTCTGGATTTGGATTGCTCTTGTTTTTCTAGGACCTTGAGATGCATCATTAGGTTATTTATTTGAGCCCATTCTGTTTTTCTGATGTGGGCATTCACTGCTGCACACTTCCCTCTTAGGACTGTTTTCATTGTACCTCATAGGTTCTGGTATGTTGGACTCCATTGTCATTTGATCTTAGGAACTGTATAATGTTTTCTGAGATTGTTTATTCAAGAGGGTATTATTTAATTTCCATGTATTTGTGTAGTTTCTGTGGTTTCTTTTGCTATTAATTTTTAATGATTTCCCTATGATCTGATAGTATGCATGGGATAATTTTGATTCTTTTGCTTTTACATAACCATGCTTTATGGGCTAGCATGGGGTCTGTGTTAGATAATATCCCATGTGCTGTTGAGAAGAATACATATTCTGTTGTTGGGTGAGACACTATAGATATTAAGTCCATTTGTTCACTGTTTGGTTCAACTCTGATATTTGTTGATTTTTTATCTAGTTGATCTTTTTGTATTAGTGGGATATTAAGCTCCCCCATTATAATTGTATTGGTGGTTACCTTATTTTTCATATCCATTAGTGTTCATTTTATGAAGTTGGGTGCTCTAGTGTTTGGTGTGTATATGTTTATAATTGTTATGTCTTTCTGTTGAATTGTTCCCTTAACCAATATGTGACCCTGTTTGTCTCTTCTGATCAGTCTTTGTTTGAAATTAGGATAGCTACTCTTGTTTTTTTCTGGGCTCCCAATGCCTGAGATATTTTTTTTTCCATCCTTTGATTTTTTAGTCATGGGTTTCTTTTTTAATTAAATGTGGTTTTTGAATATTATTATTGTTGAATTTTGTTTCTTGGTCCATTCTGCCTTTGATTGGGGAATTGATACCATTCACATTGAGAGTTATTACTGAAAGATAGTGGCTGATTCTCGTTGTTAAATGATTTTCTCATTGCTCGTTTTCTTTCCTCCTCCTCACCCTACCAGGTGTATTCAGTTCTTTTTTATTTACTGGCATTGTTGGCTTCATTGTCTCTTTCTAGGTTATCCTTGAGAATTTTTTTCAGTGCTGGTACAGTGATCATGAATTTATTGAGGTGCTCCTTGTCATGGAAATACTTTATTTCTCCATCAATTTGGGGGGGGGGGTACTGAGGCTCTGCCACTGAGCTAAATCTCCAGCCCTTTCTCTGTCAATTTTGAAGGAAGGTTTTGCAGGATATGTAAGTTTAGGTTGGAACTTGCTGCTGTTTAGGACTCAAAACCCAATTCCAAGCCTTCTTGCCCTTTAAGGTTTGTGTTGAGAAGTCTGCTGTAATTCTAATGGGTGTATCTTAATGTGATTTGTTGCTTTTCTCCAAAGTATTTAAGATTTTGTCCCTGTGATGGACTTCTGGTACTTTGATTATAAAATGTGGCATAAGGAGGTTCTCTTTTGGTTATGGCTATTTGGGGTTCTATTTACCTCACTTATCAGTGTATTTATTTCTTTTCCTATATTTCGATAGTTTTCTACTATTATTTCTGTGAGCAGGTTTTTTATGCCATTTATGTTGTCTTCTGATTTTTTACTTATTCTACTAAGTATTTTTTGTGTCATCTAGCAGCTATTGAATCCATTTTTTATCTTCTCTTGTTGCGTTTAAGGTTTCTTTGAGTAGTTGGTCTTTGAAGGCATCTCTGTTTTCTATGTAGTTCTGAAATTCTGTCCTCACGCTGGTCACTTCTGCTACGCATACTTTCAATATAATTTTGATTTCCTGGATTTGAGATTGAAACCATTTCACAGACTCCAAATTTTAGTTAAACTGGTCATTTATATTTTGTATTGTTTTACTTAGCTCATCTAGCTTTCTGTTAGTATCTTCTGAAAGTTCTTGGATCATTTTGGTTATTTCTACTATGGCTTGTATCTAGATGTCCCCCCAAAGCCTCATGCACTGATAGGTGGGGCTTCTTAAGAGGTAGCTGGATCTAGAGTGTCTGGTGCTGGATTAATTTGTGGTGCAGTGATAGGATTAAGGGTTCTAGGGTTAAGACCAAGAGTGTTACCCACCCTAAGGTCAAGTAGCCTGGGTAAAATAAAAGGGACAGAAAAAGGGCTAGAATCACTCACTTGTCACTTGCTTGTTGCCTTCTGCCTGCCATGAACTGTTTCTCTTCTGTAATGCCCTTCCACTCTGCCATCCTGCCTTGAAGCCAGCCAATTATAGATGGGAGCCTCTTAAAAACTGTGAGCTAAATAAACCTCTCCTTCTTTAACTTTGGGTGTTGGGTATTTTGTCTCAGCAGTGAGAGAAATGTAACAAAGACAGAATTTGATACTGGTACCAGGAGTAGGGTCACTGCTGTGACTGTACCTGAGCATGTGGTTCAGAAGACTTTGGGAATGGCTTATGGGAAGAGTTTGGAAAGGTTCAGAGATGCCTGGAAAAGCTTCCCTAGAATGCCCGAGTCTGTACTTGATGGGAATTTCTAATCAGAGCTCAGAAGACCAGAATGCTAATAGAAATGCTGTGGGTAAAGACCAGGCAGGAGGTTTCTGTTGGGAAAAAGGACAACACTGGTTGCTGGACTCCAGAACCTGTTCATTATGCCTTGGCAAAAAGTTTGTCTGCATTTTACTTGTATCCAGAGACTTTGACTGAGACTGAGATTAAGGGTGGCGAACTAATCTTGCAGAAGAAATTTTAAGGCAGTCTAATGTTGAGGTAGTGGCATGCCTACTGTTGGGGCTTTTAGCCAGATTTATGTTGAAAATCAAGAGCAAAGAGCCCAGCAGAATGATTCAAAATGTGAGTTTTGCCAGAAAGGAAGTTCCAGTAAAGTTACAGCCTGCAAAGATGCAACTTGGGAGACATTGGTTGCTGAAGAGACTAGCAAGAAAAAGCCAAGTGTTTCAGAATAAGACTGCAGAAAAATGACCTGAGGACATCCCAAGAAACAGCAGAACTCCATCCAGCCTTTGTAGCCCCTGAGTAGCAAAAGTGAAGACTTTTCTTTGAGAAGAGAGCCCCAAAGCACCATGTTCCAGAATAGCAACAGCCTAGAGAATTATTTTTCCTTGGGATTGGTTTCAGAGTGCTTGGTGATCCAGGCACATAACACTTACAGCCAAGAGAGAAGGAAGCCTGTCTACAGCTCCAGCTCGTGACAGACCTTGGCGTCATCCATGTGATGCTGGTTTTTGGCCCATGCGGAATGCAAGGGTTGTGGGATCAGGAAGGCTTCTACCCAGATTTCAGAAGAAGACCTGGGAAGCTAGGCAGTGTGCCCCTGAGGGGGCAGTGTGTGAAGCTGTCAGTATGAAGCTCAAGGTGCACTGGAGACGCCAGACGTAGATCATCTAAGGAAAACAGCAAGGAGGGAGCAGACCAGCCAAAGAGAGAAGCCATGGAAGCTGTAGCCACCAGCAGTTGCCATAGGAGGGAAACCACTAAAGCCCTTTGGTGTTCACATCTTGTCACAAGTTGCCTTGGATGCTGGACATAGAACTACAGGACTTAATGTTTGCCCTGCTGGATTTTGGACTTGCTTTGGTCCCATTCCTTTGTAACCCCCTATTTGTACCTTTTGAAGTGGTAAAGTTTATCTTCTACTGTTGTATGTTGGAAATGTTTAACTTTCATACAGGGGCTTGCATCTAAGAGTTTGGTTTAAATCTCAGAGGAGGCTTTTGACTGGACTTTTCAGCAATACTGAAACTGTTAGAACTTTGGCAACTCTTAGAGATTGACTAAATGCCTTTGCATAAAGGGATTTGCATGAGGCTTTAGGGGTCCAGGGGCAGAATGTTATAGCTTATGTCTAGATGTTCCCGAAAAGCCTCATGCATTTGTAGGTGGGTCTTTTTCATAGGTGGCTGGATCTCGGTTGTGTGATGCTGGGATTGAGGGGATGTGATTACTACATTAGTCCACTGATTGGTTTGGCCTCCACCCTAAGCCATATAGTCTAGATAGAATATAAAAGGGGCAGAAGGAAGCTCCTGTTGTCACTTGTGGCTTGCTTGCTTGCTTGTTTTTGCTATTTTCTGCCTGCCGTGAACTGTATTTCCTCTGCCATGCCACCCTGCCTTGGAGCCAGCCAACTATGAACCAAAACCTCTACAAATTGTAAGCTAAATGAACCTTTCCTCTTCAACTTTGGGTGTTGGGTATTTTTTTCTCTGCAATGAGGAAAGTTAAGACAACTCCATTATCTGTTTAGTTGTATCTTCTGTGATCCTGCTGAGTCCTTCTTTGATCTGTTTTCTAACTTCTTCTGTTATCCTTTCGAGTCATTAGGTGTACAGCTTATGCTATTCTCCCACTCATTGCTCCCTGGATTAGCTTTGGGGGAATTGTGAGTTTTGGGAGGCATTTTCGTTGCCTAGTCTTTTCACCTTTCTATTTGTTTTGTTTTATGCTGAGGTTTATGGACATTTAAAGTGTAAAGGCTTTGTTGTTAGTATAGAGTTCTCTTTAGTCAGTCACTTTTCAGTGACATACTTTGGGCATGGCTAACTATAATCCTTTGCTTCTTTCCCAAGGTCCAATTGCCTTAGTTAATTTGGAAGGGTAGGCCCAGCACTGAGTTCTCTGGGAATCTAGTAGTATCGTTAATGTCACAAAAGTAATCTTGGTGGAAAAAAACAATAATCTGAGTGTTAGATTGTAGAGAAAACCCATTAATGGTGACAGTTATGTGACCCTGATATCAAGCAAATCAACTACAATAGAATCACCCAAGACAAATTGGCTATTACCACACCATATGAACCAATTATATACTACTTTTACCCTAAAGAAGAAATCTACATAAATACTAAGCACAGGTATTACTTTCAGTTCCTATGTAGCTGTGACAGCTACATCTCTGCCAATGGTAGAAATGAATTCAACAATTATTTTATAGAGTTAACTAAAGATTAATAAAGCTTTATGGTAATATTATTAAAAAGAAGGTTAGGAACTGGGAAATGCAAGAAGAAAAATATTCTAAGAAGAAAAATTTGAAACCTTAAACTAGGATATGAAGAGAAGAAAGAAGTGGGACAAAGGATTTGTGTGTGTGTGTGTGTGTGTGTGTGTGTGTGTGTGTGTTTATAGAACAAAAATTCTGATGAGAAAAAAGAGAAAAGAAATTATATGGAGAATAAAAGAGAAAAAAATAGAGGAAGGAAAATAAAAGGATGGGCCAGGGATTTAGGTCAGTGACGCCACCACCTGCCTTGCAAGCTCAAGGTCCTGAGTTTGATCTCTGGACCAAAAAAAAAAAAAAAGAAAAAGAAAAAGATGCAAGAAAAAAGGACAAAGGGACCTTCCCTAAACCCCAATAAACTAGTGAAGAAGAAAAAAGGAAAGAAAACATGTGCACACACACACAAATACACATAAATACATGTCTCTTTGCTTTTTGAATGCATGGTTTTCTTTCTGGATCTACAATTTTATGACAGTGACCAACTCAAGACATGTCCTTGCTCATGCTGAGAGATAAAGAAAGCAGTCAGACTTCAGATCCATTCTGGATGCAGGCACCAACAGGCAGTAGGCGTAGGGTGAGTGTGCCAATGCAGTCTTTCAAATCCAGAGCAGCTCTGGCTGTGCCTGGCCCCTGGCTGTGGTAGTGGTGGGGCCTGAGTCCTTTATCTCAGACCCCTCAGGGCATCTCCTTCCAGCCTGCACCCTGACTAAGGCTGCCCCCCATGTCCATCTCAGAACCAGCCACTGGGAGGGGAGCACTGGGAGCCTCATTGAGTCCTGGGTTCAGACACTTCACCCTTTCCTGGAATGTTGTCTGACCAAGCACTCTCCAGTGATCTGGTGTTGCTTAGATTAGGATGAATCCCCAGCTTTTGCCTGTCAATGGGCTCCTGTGGGAGCAGAATCCTGTGCTGTTCCTGCAAATCACGTCAATGGCAGGTCCATTCCAGCATTCCATTTCTCCTGGGGCCCCCTGGAGCCCCAGCATTCACTTTGTCTCTGTAGGTTTGATCTCCCTTTCCTGCGAGCTAGGAGCTGGGAGCCAGGGAGAAAGTACAGTGACTTTCTTTCCTTCTCTGCATTGTGTTCTCTCTCTTCAGTTTCTCTGTGGCTTTTAATTTTCCTGTCAGATTCTTCTTGGTTCTTGAGAATCTACATCTCTCTCTCTCTCTCCTTTTTTTTTTTTTTTTTTTTTTTTTTTTTTTTTTTTTTTTTTTTTTTGTTTGTTTTTTTGTTTTGTTTTGTTTTTTGAGACAGGGTCTCACTATGTAGTTGAGACTGACCTGGAACTCACTGTGTAGTCCAGGCTGGTCTCGAACTCAGTGATCCTCGTGCTTCAGCTTCCCCCAGTGCTGGGATTACAGGTGTGAGCCACCATATCCGGCTCTCGCTGTCTCTTTTTTCTTTCCCTAGTTTCTATTTTTCTGAATTCCAAATCTCGGAGAGGCTGAGTTGCAGCCCCTTACCAGTTCTACCATGTTTTTCTCCTCAACTTCCTCATCTGTTTTCTTTCATTTTTGCTAGGTTAAAAAGTTCTTGACAGTGGCCATTTGTTTTGTATTTGCAGTTCTAGTGCTTAATGACACAATTTTTATTAAGAGAATGAACAAATAAATGGTTTATTTTTTTAAGTAAGACATAGATATGGTACCCAATCAAATATGTTCAGCTTTCGGACTTAACTGTTTTGAGGACTTGAGCATGTAATTGACTTGAGTGTGTTAACTTGAGTTTGAATTGTCTTGCTCTCTGCCTGACTCCTGCTAGAAGTGACTTATCCTTTGGTTTTTTTCTGTCCTGCCACTTCTATGATCCGGGCGGGAGAATTGATTTTTAAAACATCTCTATATGATTTCCGGAGTTAATTGGGGAAAAATGTTAGAGGAAAGCCAATCTAGCATTTTGAGGGGGTTTTGTTTGTTTATTGTTCAAGCCTAACCTCTAAATTTTCATTTTTTTGAGTCATTTACTTTCTGTGAGTAAAATGAATTTTTTCCATTATCTGCTATTGAGAGAAATCTCTTTTCTTAACTATTTGATCTTGGAACTGGGTAGAGAGTGTTCACATAAAGACATTGAGAACGTTTGGTGTGGAAGAAGTACATCTATACCAGGCAGACATCAGTGATGACCTATTTCTGGACATCACATTGGGAACACTAAAGTATTGTATTGGAGTTGTACCTAGACCCAGGCCTGGGTTCTTTGCACACTGAGGTCCTTCGTTTAAGCACATGTGGCTTTGAATTCCACATTGTACATTTTGAAAGCTTCGTTTGGGATTTGATAATTTTATCTAATCTTTTTGGAGTCCCCAAGCTTATGCCACAAGTAATTCATGTTAGTATGAAATTACCCTGATCTTGTGATATCTTTCCAGGGTGTTACCCTAACAGACCTTCAAGAAGCTGAAAGGACTTTTAGCCGTTCAAGGACAGAACGCCAAACTCAAGAGCAGCCTAGTGAGAAGCCTGCTGATACTGCTGATACTGCTGATACTGAGAAGCAAGACCCCTCAACAGTACTGACAAAGGAAGCTGGGGAGAACCAGCACCCTTGGGGCAGGAGTCTGGTTGAAGAGGTAAGCTTGTTTGGGGTGCCATGTAACGTGCATCTGTTCCTCACTGATAGATTTTCATATGCTGTTCTCCCTTGCAGTGCACCACTCTTAAAAAGCACTATTTACAGCTAGGAGTGTACCACACACCTGTAATCTCAGCATGTGAGTGAGTGATGCAGGAGGATCAAAAGTTTGAGCTCAGCCTGGGCAACTTAGTGACCTAGTGAGACCCTGTCTCAAAATAAAAAATAAAAAAGAGCTGGAGGTGTAGCTCAGTGTGAAGGTCCTGGATTTAATTCCCAGTACCACAAAAAGAAAAACAAACACTGTTAATGGCAGTCTTTAGTTGGCAAACCTGTGTAACTGAAGGAACTCAGAGGGTGCCAGTCTTTAGCCTTTTTCTCTCTGGGAATTAACTAATGTATTTCAATCAAAACTTTTCTTTTCTAAAAAGAGCAGTCATTAATACAATGCAAATAAAAGCTGAATACAAGCATTTATTGAGTATTTATGCCAGGTACTATATTAAGCACTTCACATGTAGCAGTTCATTTAATCCTCAAACAACCCTCTGAAGTAGACAATGCTTTTCAGTTTTATATGTGGCAGCTAAGTCACAGAGGTTGAATAACTTGCCTAATATTTCACATAACTAAGGAGTAGGTAAGCGAGGATTTTAACACAGGACATCTGTCCTAGTCACTTTCCGCGTTGCACAGACGCAATACCTGACACCCACAATGTAAAGGAGGAGAGGCTTATTTTGGTTCAGTTTTGAGGTTTCAGTCCGTGGTTGGCAGGTGGAAGGGTCTGGTGTGGAAGAAAGCTCATGTCATGCCAGCCAGGAAACAGGAAGAGCCAGGGGTGGAGGCACACCCTTCCAAGTCACGCCCTCAGTGAGCCCCTCTAATCAGACCCACTTCCTAACCGCAAGTCAGCTATAAACTCATCAGCAGATTAATCCACCAGTGAGTGTAGTGCCCCCACGACCCACTCACCTTCCAAACACATTCGGCTTTGCAGGATACCCCAGCTGTAAACTGTAACACAGTCTGATTTGACCAGTGATGTTCTCCAGCCTCCTGCAGGCTTACGACCTTACAAAGTACTCGTGGAGGTCACTACTGGGATGAACATTTTGATTTATGTTTGAGTTGTATAGTGGAGTTATTAGTCACAGCTAAAAGGGTATATTTAGGACAAATGTAACTCCTGGTTTACCTAAGATACTTCAGATTGTAACTGTTGTCTCTGTGTAATTATCATTGCTACTCCTTCTTTGCACTGTCAAGTGTCCCACCATAGACTGATAAATTTTATGGTCACTTTTAGTTTTTCACACCAGAGAAACTATTCAGTATTTGCACGTGTATCTTATTTATTTCACTTGAGTGTGGCCTCAATCTGCATCCATTTTTCTATGAAAAACTAAAAGTGTAAGATCCAAATTGTATAACAGATAATGTGAAATAGGAAGAAAAGCACTAAAGGTGTAGGGGAAGTGGGAAGGGTAGGGGAAAGGAAACAATGGACAAGAAAAAACATGAGAAAAGGAAAAAATGAAAATAAAGTCTTTGTAAATAGGGGAGGGTGGAGGGCGTGAAGGGAGGGCAGGGGTATGGGGGAAAAATGAGAGAACCAAGATCTGTCATGTAAGGGTACAAGATCCCAATGATGCATGTAACTGTACTGTATACTTAAAAAATTCCAATAAACTCAATAAGATAAAAAAAATTTATGGTCACTGTATTTATAAGAGAAAGGAAAGTCTGTTTCTTGCTGTAACTCTGAATGGCTAGTTTCCATGTGTTGAGGTTCTGTTCTGTATTTTGTCTTGTATGCTGCCATTTATTGAGTATTTATACTGAGTTTTTGTTAAGCACCTAATATGCTTCGCTTATTACCAAATCCTCACTATTTGGTTTGAAGACAGTATTGTATCCCTATTTTACAGATGAGGAAGCTGAGGTTGCAAAGCTTATTTTATTGCTTCTATCTTTATAATTTATAAATGTAAAATATTAAATATTCGTGGCAGCATGTGCAAGGCCCTGGGTTCCATCCCCAGCACCTCAAAAAATAAAAAATGTAATCTCTACAGTTTGAACTTACTGTGTATTAAGAATTTACCTCTCTGTATTCAGTAAACCAAGTTAAGGTTATTGTCAATTGTGTCTTAACTCTCATAAAAAGATTTCAAAGGTGAAAATGAGAATTTAAAAGAATTTTCAGGGCACTGAATATGTAGCTCAGTGGTAGAGCACTTACCTAAACTGTGTAAGGCCTTGACTCAGTTCCCAGCACCATATAAAAATGATGAGTAAATGTTTCAGGAACTCTTGGTAGGGCATGTTGGAGAGTATTCAGATATTGGTGGAATTTTCATATTTGATCTTTTTTCCCAGACAGTTCCTACATTCTGTATCTTTATGTTCCTGAGCTTTTAATTTTCCTACATAAACTGGCTCTCAGTGCTCCATTTTAAAGGAGTCATTGTTCTTCCTTTTTCATTCCAAGGTCAAAAAAAACCTTTCATTAACATATTTAGTGTTATCTAGTGCCCTTTGGTCATTTTAGGAGTAATTTGCCTGGACTACTGTCAACATAATGGTGGGTCAGAGTAGGAGCTCAGAAGCTGTTTTCTGTTAGCTAATTAACTAATTTTAGTTCAATTCAATAACTGTAGATCAAGTGTCAACTACTAATAAACCTCTTAATTTTGAGAAAGCCCATTTTGAATAAATCTCCCATCCTTCTGTGGATTATTTCCAGCCTGTCTATCGTCGTCTGAGGTGTCCAAGTCAGCCAGACAAACCCACAAGCCCAGTGTCTCCTGTATCAAGACCCTCACTATATACCAGCTCTCATCTGCTACAGACAAGTAGATCTTCAGCGCCCGATTCTGAGAGTTCGGAGACTGCCACAAACACTGTAACTGCAAAGGAAATGGACAAGAATGGTGCGTAGAGTTTAAAAGATGCACACTGCTCTCCAGTGCACATGCCCCAGATTATTAAGATCCATATTTTGTTTTCTCTCTGGCCAGAGAGTGAAGAAGCAGATGTGGATGATCAGTCCTCTAATCGGCTGTCCATCCGAGAGAGGAGGAGGCCCAGGGAACGTCGAAGAGGCACAGGCATCAACTTCTGGACAAAGGATGTAAGTGCATTGGTCTATTGATTTTTTTCTTTTGAGTTCAAATGAAAGAGTCCTACATTATACCATGAATCTTGCAGATTGCCAAGAACTGTTGTTACTGAGGAAACTGTTGTTAAGAGAAAGAAAGACTGAACCAGTATGGGTCTCACTTCTGTGTTCCTCCTGGATGGCCAGGACCCAGAATAGTGCTGAGCATATCGTGGACATTCAGTAAATAATTGATGAAGTCTTTAAAAACCTGGAGATTTAAGTAGTCATATAAATAACTGTAACATGTCTCAGAAACTCATGTAGTCAACAGTCTCTTAACACCATATATAAAAAGATTCTGACTAAATATTTTAGGAAAGATACCAGAATTTCAAAATCTGTAAATTAATACAAGTTAATTCGACCCAGTTGTATTCCTTTAGAGGAAAAAGGGAATAAATAATATAAAACAAATTAACTTTGGCTTTTAAATAAAGAAAAATACACCAATATCTGTTAGCCACAAACACACCTTCCAGTACTTTAATGTATCCTTCTCCATACCATGTTCTGTATCCTCTCACTCAGCCTTTAAAAATTAAGTGCCCAAAAACTTGAACTGAGGTTCCAGGTTACCACTTGAAAAGTCAGTAAAATCTAGTCAGTGAGATGAGAAGTAAGACAGTAACTGTCATCTATTAGAAACTGTCTTTTAGATGAAAGTATTTCCTTTATAGAGGACCAAACAAATGTATAACTTTTCCCTCAGTGTTGGGGATGGAACCTGGCCGCTTGCACGTGCTACTCAAGCACTCTGCCATCCTGCTTCACCCCCAGCCCGTAACTGGTAACTTTTGACAGAACTGAAGTTACTTCTCTGTTCCTGAAGATGCCTTTTTTCTATAGGTGATGTTCTAAGTTGCCCTCCTATGACAGCTGTGGAAAGTGTTGGTGATGGCAGCACTTGGCTGTCAGTTCTCATCACCCACATTTGAATTGCCAAGATGATGCATAACTGACAGGAACTGACCTTGTTGTGTTCCAAGATGATCCTCTTGGTTTTTTTTTTTTTTTTCTCTTTTTTTTTCAGGACGATGAAGCTGGTGACTCTGAGGAGGTTAAAAAAATATGGGTAAGTGACAAGCCAGTGAAGCCTGTCCCATAAGGGCTCAGTCTTGCTGTTAGGTATACAGTTTTCATAGAAGAGCAGGCCCTGTGCAGATTTGTGCTAGGGAGTTTGAAGCCAGGCGTTCCTCCAAGAGGTGTGGCAGGTGTTAGCTGGTTCACGTGGTGTAATGACGCCCATACTCTTGGACAAGTTTCCAACATGCATTTGTGCCAGCTGCCAGTCTCTAACACCATTATAGCCTCCAACTTTTTCTCTCTTGGATGTTATATAAACTGGGTTATATAAAGTACTTTGAAGTCTTTGAAAGAAAAGTAAAAAGTGGTATCAGTTTCCTTATGAATATGTATCAGTAGAGAGAAACACACGTGGCGAGAGTAAAATATCAGTCTAAATGTCATTTATATTTGACTTTGAAATAAGATTCTTCTATAACTCCATCTCTGGAAGTTTGGTATCAAATCCCTCTCTGCAGTTCAAGGCCTATCCCCAGAGTTCCTGAAGAAAATAACCTAGGTTCCTGTGAACTATTCAGACATAGTAGAATGGTGGAGGTTTTGTCTCATACTGTTTTGCAGAAAGGAAGGAATTTGATATTTATTAAATTAATTGAGTACATATGCCTTTCTGTTTTAAATTATATGTAAAGTTATTACCTTTGCACTTGATGGTTCTCAGAATGTACTTAATAACGTACTGAAAATCAGTAACTAATTATTAGTAGAGGGTCAGTATATTGTCAATGACCTGCCTGTATATTAGTCCTAAACAATCAATAGTGTCTTTCCTAAAAGCAGTATTCATAATGACTAATGGTAAAATAATTGAAAATTGCATACCCTTGGTTAAAGCTAAGGCCACTTCACAAAGATGAGTTGTATGATGTGGAAATTGTGCCTAGAGGTTTCCTTGGGGCAGAAATGCCTGTGTGTGTGTGCTTGCACGCATGTAAACAGTAGTAGCACTTAGATTCTGTAAGAGGCTAGGAAAGGCTTTTGAGGACAGGAGGAGCATAGGAAGTTTCTTTGGGAAACTATAAGTAAACAGAGAATTTGAATAATAGATTACAGAGTACTGAAATGGAGAATAATCCCTAGAGGGTTACATAGGCCATTTAAATCCAAGGAGTTGCAACAAGGATGGTTTTGTTGTCGTAGAAATTTTTTTTCTAGTGAAAATCTTTGTCTCTGTTCTTACAAACTTCTTGGTCCTGGAAAATGTAGCCTAGGGTACCAAATAAGAAAAATTAAGATGATCTTGATGTAGTGCTTCTCAGAGAATTTCATTTTAGGACCGTTGATTTAAAATTAGTAAAGTTTCTGGTTGGTGAGGAAAAGCAGGGACTTGAGGTTTGACATGAAAGTCACTTGTCAGGTTGAAAAATGGTCTACTCTTTCAATTGCTCCAGGCATCTACTAGTGTTTCCCATGTGTCAGGCAGACTCCATTGTGAATCTAAAAGAATGAACAACCTGTTACCTCCAGACTGGTGACTTGAACGTGTGCAGGTCAGTGGGGGTTGGCACAAGCACATTCTGGATTCCAGACTCCAGCCCCATCCATCGTTCTGCAGAGAGGCTGAGTCAACACAGACTGAGAAATCCTTTTTGTTAGCCTTATATTGGCTTGTTTCATTACTCCAGTTTATTTCAGTGAAACTTTTATCTGTTTCTGTCCCCTGAGCCCCATCTTCTGAAGCTAGCAAATGAGAAGCCATTGTCTGTATGGGCCCTCAGAGCAACAGCAGACCTGGTGACCGCCCAGTGAGAATCACTGCGATTCTACTTCAAAACAGCCAGCAAAATCTTATGTCCACTTTCTTTTCCCTGCTTTCATGTCCTTCCATCAGACAAAGGAGTTGACTCCGCTCTTCAGCAACATTTGAGCCAGTCAGAGGAGGGGGATTCTATTGAAATGTCACTGTTGGCTAATCAGTGTGAATACTGCCAGGAGGCCTGGGCCATTATTTTCTTTCTTGGTTTTGGTTCAGTTAAACTTTATCTGCTATTGAGGTTATACCAGCTCCCTTTTCTCTCCTAGCCCACTCCTTAAGAATGATGATATCTGTTTTGTTTTTTTTTTTTTTTTTAAGTTCACTCTCCCAAGACTCAGGTACCTTTTTTAAAAAACTGGGATATATGGGCTGGGGATTTAGCTCAGCGGTTCGGTGGCCTGCCTTGCAAGCGCAAAGACCCGAGTTCAATCCCTGGTACCAAAAAAAACAAAAACAAAAACAAAAAAAACTGGGATATAACTTATCAATAAAATGCACAGATTTTAAATGTACCGCCTAGTGAGTTTTGACATTTGCATATGCAGGTATATCCACCACCCAAATCAAGATATAGAACTTTTCTGTCACCCCTTTCCAGTCAGTTTTGTCTTGAAAGACAACCATTCTTCTGATTTTTTTTCACTGTTGGTTATCATTGCCTGTATGTATATATGGAATCATCCTGTCATAATTAAGGGTAGAGAGGAAACTTCAGTATTATCTTTGTCTTATGCCTCTAGTGAGGGTGAGAGCTAAAATAATTTCAAGTATGTATGGAGTATTCCCCTGCTTTTTAAAGATTTCAAAAGAAAATTCTTCAATTTGTCACCCATATGTCAGTAATAACACAATTAAGACTTTTCTGTTGTTTAACCTAGATCCCTATTGACATGAAATTACTTTTTTTGTTGTTTTTTTTTGTTTTTTTGTTTTTTGAGACAAGGTCTCACTATGTGGTTGAGACTGACCTGGAACTCACTATGTATCCCAGGCTGGTGTGGAACTCACAGGGATCCTCCTGCCTCAGCCTCTGAGTGCTGGGATTACAGGCGTGGGCCACCACACCCGGCTCATTTCCTTTTTTAATGCACTAGAAAAATGTAAACAAAATTTATAAGATTTATGGCCAGGAATGGCCCTGGTGGTTGCTCTCTATAGAGCAAATAATGAAGAGGCCAGGCAGGCATTGTCATGCTGGTGACATGAGAAGCAGGGAACGCAATGAGAAGGCTGGGGACCTGGCTTCAGCCCAGCGTAGGCCGTGGTTTTAGTCAAAACTCATCCTCACTGATAATAAATCGTCAGCCAACGAGAGAGACCAGCAGAGAATGTATAATTTGATATTTTGCACCTCCTTGACAGATGTGTTCAAAACAATTTTGTTTCGTTATCCACATCAGATATGTGACAGTCTCTGGAAACCTTAAGATATTCTTTGTCTTGTAAGTGAAAAAGAAGCTGAATCTGAATCTTAATTTGAGGAAGAGGTTACTTCAGTCATGCCTGAATGATTCAGTCATGCTTTTTATTCAAGAGTGTGTTTGCTGTTTTCTTTACTAGAGTCTCCCTTATCCATGAGGGATACTTTGCCAAACCTCCGAGAGATGCCTAAAACTGCAGATAGTACCAAACCTTATGTATACCATGCCTTTTCCTATATGTTCATACCTGTGATAAAGTTTAATTTATGTTATGCAGAATAAGTATTAACAGTAATACAGTTTCTATATTAATGTACTGTAATAAAATCAGCATCACTTCTGTTGCACTTCAAGATTATAAGTAAAATATGGGATACTTAACACAAACACTTATGCCTTAACCATTGATCTGATATCCAAGAAGGTTATTAAATGAGAACGGGCAATAGAGTGTACAGTGTAGATATGCCGGGCAGAGGAATAATTCATGTGCTGCAGGACGGCAGGAGATTTCATCACATATTCAGAACAGCACAATTTAAAAATCACGAGTTACTGTGAAATTTCTATTTAATATTTTCAGATGGCAGCTGACCACAGTATAGGTAACTGTGGAAAGCAAAACTGCAGACAAAGTGGGAACCTAATGTAGAAATCGCATAGAATCGCTTCTCGACCTTTTGGCCTAGTCAAGTGTAGAAGTGGCATAGAAAGTTTGCTGTGGAAGGAATAGTCCCAGTCATGCCATGGCCAGTGGTAACCATTTCCTTCCTCTCTTCCCCATGTTTTTGGCCTTCCTTCCTGTTGCTTTATGTAGAGCTTTATTTACTGTGTCCTCCCCCGACCTCCCATTTATTTCTCTGGAGCAGCCTTGTTTCCCAAACTAATTCTGTTGTATAATTAAATTTATCACTAGAGGGCACAAGTGGTCAACTGAAAAGGTGTTGATATGCAACAGAATAGTGGCCTAAAGAAGCTGAGCTAAAGACTTAAGTACTTTTGTTTTAAAGAAATTGTTGAAGAACCCAGGTCAGTATAGCTAAGGGTATTTGCTTTCCAATTGGTTTTTAGGTTGTTTTGTTTTGTTTTTAAGACATGGTTTTGTTATGTAGTTCTGGCTGGACTTGAACTCACTGTGTAGCCCAGGAGGGCCTTCAACTTTCAGTGATCTTCATGCCTCAGCCTCCAGAGTGCTGGGATTACAGGGCCTCCAGAGTGCTGGGATTACAGGTATGCAGCACCAAGCCTGGCTGCACCCCAACTTTTGATATAGAATTAGAAGGGAATTTAGACGTAACTTGGTTTAGGAGCATCATTTCCAAGTTAAAACTGCGGCCGGGAGAAGTTAATAATTATTTGGGGATATAAAACCTCTGCTAAGTGACTGTTCCTTTCACTGAGGAGCATTTTAGTGAGGCAAACCTGAAATTAGGGTTCATATCCATTTTCATACCTCACTCACCCATTTGGTTTTTTATCCAGCAGGTTACATGTTCGAATTGACTTGCTAGTAGCTTCACCTCCTTGAGTGAAGGAACGTCTTCTTGAAGGACAACTTAAAAGTCTACTAAGAGTATCAAGATTCAGTGGGTAGAGGGAGCATCAGCATGCTTCTGCTATCCTTGACATATTGGTGGATAGCTGTACTGGACAGGAAGTAAGAATTTTTATACTTTTATCAGGAAAACGTTCCCCACCCTACTCCTTGCAGAATCTCTGTTGCTTTAGGAAAAGAGGGTGGTTCTTAATCTGAACGAAACCACTAAAACCTTACCCTCAAAATTGCCAGGGGAGCGGTCCTAATCCTGAATG